CTAGAATAAAACAAAAAAAAAAAAAAAAAAAAGGAAGAAAGAAGAAAAAAAAAAGGTTAAATGTTGTATGCGAGATCGTGATATTTTTTTCCAAGAGTCGATCAACTTTATTATTACAACCGATTGTAACGCAGTCCAAGGTGACGCCCAAGGTGATTTTTTTTTCTCAACGTTTCTCACTCTTCAGATCTCCCCCACTCGCGTGGATTCTCTTCCTCTCGTTCGTTCCTCTCGAACGAGATTCAATAACTTGATGCTACTAAAAAGTTCTCGAAATGCTCGAAAATACCCTCTATCTTCTTTCGTTGTTTCGCATATCGATTTTTTTTTTCTTTTTAGCTTATCCCTTATCGATCGCTAATTGTTCAATAACGTTTGAATTCGTATATTATTTAAATCCTTTCGTCCATCTTTCGTCCTTATTTATTTATTTATTTTTTTTTTTATTCGTTGTTCCGTTCTTGGCAGATTTCACCACTCTCTCTCTCTCTCTCTCCTCCTCTTCGTTTTTTCTCCATCCTCCCCCTGTAAACGAATAATAACAAAGTCCAAAGTTTCTTTTTTTTTTTTTCCATTTTTCTTTTTCTTTTCTTGAACTTTTATTGAATGTATATTCGCCATATTCCGTCGAATGGACGAATTCACGTTACACAGCTGACGCTGATGATTTTTCACAGATTTCTGGCAGCATCTAGGACAACGAATAATGGCTAGGACGACGAATAAACCTCGAAGGATGTACCCTTGCGGAAAGTGTCAGAAGATATATTCGAACGCATCATCCCTCTACCGCCATTTGAAGCTCGAATGCGGGATGCTTCCGCAATTCCACTGTCCCTACTGTCGCTTCAGCTCAAAGAGGAAATTCAATTTGGACTCTCACGTGGCACACAAGCATAGCAAATTGCTCAACTGTTATGTAAATAAAATAGGATAAAACTATTATTATTATTATTATTATTATTACTATTATTATTAAAAATTATTATTATTATTATTATTGTGCTGCCGATCTGGTCCAACGTATTTGTTCGTTTTCGAGCTGCTGAAACGAAGAAGAATAATTATTTTTTGTTATTTCCTCGAATTATATTTATTCGAAAGAAATTTTTCGAGACGAAAATCTCGATTGGAACGATCCCAAATAAAAATTACGACTTTTGTACATACCTGTAGTACCATCCTTGCTTCTTTCAGATCTTTCAGATATATTTTGAAAATGACGTCTGCTCGACGATCAACGACGATCGACGAGCTATTTCAAAAATATCCACGGATCTGGATCTTAATTATAAGATCGCATTATATAATATATATTATATAACGTTATATTATATATTATATAAGATATAAAACTGTAATTCGAACAATGTCGTTTGAAAATTAACCAGATCAATAACTGAATACGCGTTCAATAAGTGAACGCAATTCACGATAAGATAATAACGAAAATTCATACGGAAAACGAAAACTTGTGTAGCCGATACGGGTATAAGATATTCGTGTCTCTTTTTCGCTATAATCGTTCCTTATAATCCCAAAAGTGTAAAGAATAAACCGCATGGGTAATTATGTGTGCATTTCTTACAATCTCATTTCATCATTTTATCTCTTTACACGCTCTCTTTCTCTTCCTTTCTCTTTCCCCAAAATTTAAAAAAAAAAAAAGAAAAGAAAAAGAAAAAAAACCGTGTTGAACATTATCGTTAATCGTTCGTTTAATTTTTACAGATAAATATAATGACGATATCCACAACGAATATCCACAATTTCGTCGGCCATACATTCTGGAAAACGTGTTTTCTTTTCCATCAACGTGTTTAATAATTTCCTTTAAATCCTCGTTGCATATTTTTTGTTTCAGGACATCGTGAATAACGTCACCTGAATCGTCTCGATGGTCGGAAAAAAAGGTTAACTTATTGCTGTTACGTTCGAACAAAAAAAAAAAAAAAAAAAAAGAAAACGAAAAAAAAATAAGAAACAAAACGAAAAAAAAAAAATAAAAATAAA